GAATACAGAAATTTTAGTTGGAAAATCTGAAGGGGTGGTACTAATTATGGCATGTAGGCTTAGGCTCATATATTTAAATAAATAAAATAAAATATCAATTAAACCAGTGATATTTTTATCACTTTTAAAAGTTTTAATACAATTTAATTCGTGGCTGTGTCGACGGCTTCCTTATCAAGATTATACGAGAGAAGAGTATAAAAAATATAAAAATATAAAGTATGAAATTTACAAATCTAGTTCCATTAGTGTCTTCTAGCTGAGTGCCGACTCACAGATGAAGTCCCCAGTTACCAATCTGAATAACATCTTTAGGCATTGTCATACGTGACAATATTAAAACGAATCATGAATGATTAATATTTAGGAGTGTAGGTTGGGTCTAATTGGCTCAGTATGTGGCCCAGTCTGTCTTTTCTACTGCATGTACTTGGTTCTTGTGCTGTTGCATTATCAAAGCAGAAACAATCTTGGTCTATTCCCGATGCAGCAGAATTATCCACGGCGATACTGACATAAAAGTTTTTTGAGTCGAATATTTGTTGAATTAATTACTGGGGAAATGATAAAAACCGAATGATGTAGATTAGTTGATCACAAATCCCATATGACGCGAACGAAAATCGAAACCGATCCCCGCTGCTGACAAGCAGTACAATGGTCTGTAAATTCCTCTAGTGAGGAATTAATGCTTAGAAATATGTGGACTCCAGAGCCTTATATAAGATCCGTGGCTCATGTTACATATTATTCGAGATGAGAATGTTAACAGGCCTACAATTCGAATGTGTTACCACGAAGGTTAATCCTCAACGGACAAAGTTAACTTTACGAACGTTATAATAATATCTGTAAGTAAAGTAAAGTAAAGTAAAGCCGTGAAGGCCCATAGGGTTGTGAGACATTGAGGGTCCCACATTATCTAGACAATCGGTTCAAAGATGGAGGTAAGGTTGTCAGCCTTACGCGCCGGCCGCGCTTTACTCCCCAGGAAAATTATTTAATTAATCCCTGGTACTAATTTCTGTTAGAGGCTGAGTCGACCCCAGGGCCATAGTACGGGCGGAAGGATTAGGTAAATTTAAAAAAATCCAATGACCTCATCGGGACTTGAACACGCAACCTTCCGGCTTATAGCATAGTGCCTCAACCAACTACTAGTACAATTTTCCATACGTTAGAACTCGGTTTGAGATCCAACAACAGCAACGGATGCTTTACTTGATGACCTACTTAGTTTTCTACGGGCGTCTTTTACATAATTTGGTAAATATTTATCGAAGCAAAAAATATATACGTATATATCTGCCTTTTATTCTACTGTAAGCAATAGAGCCGTCCCATGAGCCGTGCTTTGGGCGACTCTTCTGACATTCAGCAGAAGACTAGAATTTCAGTGTTACGTGCCTGGAATGTCTTTACGTTACTACATAATCTTTGTGAACGAAGTAGGCATGATGCTGTTAGCATGTAGGCGGTTTTCGTGCGAAGTATACATTTATGAGTGTATAATTCTTTCTATAGCATTTTCAGCACACTTCAACTCGGATGTGGCGTCACATTAGCGGCTTAGATATTTTCAAAATTGGTATGAATATTATGACATTCAGTGTCAACATTCGAGATTTCGTGACTACAACAATAATTAGCAACGACAACTTAACTAAAATTGTAGCTGTAAATTATGTTTCTTCCCCCCCCCCCTTGGCACTACAGCCCCAGTGGGCCTAGGCCTACCTCCATGAACTTCTCCGTTCACTTCGGTTTTTCTAGATCTTACACATTCGATAGGACTCCTTGGGCGGTTGATCAGCTCGTCGCAAGGTCTCTACTTGCACACACGAACACAGACACACACACAACTAGACATCCATGCCCTGAGTAGGATTCGAACCCACGATCCCGGTTTCCAAGCGAGCGAAGACAGTACATGCCTTAGACCGCTCGGCTACCGTGACTGGCAATTCTGCTTCATATTATAGGAAATTGTAAATTGCATGGATAATTTGTATTAAAAATATCTTCCATTGTCTGATAAAAATAAGTATGGTCATAGCACATTTATTACAAGCCTTGCAATGTGTCTAAAGCATAAGATGAAATCTGATTCTTACTTTCTGAATGTACTAAATTCTTCAAAGTTTCGTCACAATACCAAGGTAACTAAGAGACTGCTCCAGCTTGGTATTTTGGCATTTTCACCTTCGATTGAAATTGTCATTTCTCGTTAATTAATTTGTTAAGCAAATAGTTAATTTCTTACACATATTTGTCGAGTTGGAAATTAAAATGTCAAAGTTCTTCCTTTCTTCCATTAAGCACAAGGTTATGAAGACGTACCGGGGAATTGAGGAGTAATTCCACGCATTCTTAATGTTAGGACTAGATAGAGGTGAGTTTGAGCTTCGCTTTCCTGTCTCTTTAACTCCAGTGCTCATTAGGTAAGAGGCTAGATGGACCCTGCCTCTGTCTGGACACGCGGGCTAAGAGAGAAATTCCTACCACTCAAGTTCATCGAATTCCGGTCGTCCAGACGGTACCCAATCGTACATTTAAAATATTATCACGTGTTAGTGATTAAACACGGTGTTGGATTGACAATTTAATTTATTGTAAACTTATAACCCGTGATTTCAGGTAACTGTAATGATACCGATAATGTACACACATAATAAATCAGTACAGCACACACTGAGTCTCAGTCTTCTCCAGTCATCGCTGGGTTACGGTTCCTAACAATGGAGTTTCTTCTATTTCCGTGTTCACGTCCTTGCTGGATGGCGACTGTCTCGCAGCTAAATAATTACCCCAGATGTTGCCTTGCTCGCGCTCGCTCTATAGTCTCGACACGGACCGCACAGAAAATACCGTCCCGCAAAATTTCTCCAGTGTTGCGTTCGTATCCGTTGCGTTTACGTAGCCGTTGCCTCTTAGACGACTATGTAATCATGTCACAATATGAAACCCTTATATACGTAAAATATTTTTGTGTGTAATAACTTTTGCAGAGATGGATTCAGTTAGTCGATATGGGGATACTGCTGATGGAAAGAATTTTAAATATTTTGTTCGTGTGAGCTGTGCTTTTCTATTCTTGTACCAGAAGTCAAAATTGAAGATTCACAGACTGCCTCAGAATTTATTCAGAGTCACGTATCTGAATGGAATAAAGATGACGTAGCCTCTCGCTATGTTCCAGATGCTACTTGCGCCTGACATTGTGCATCTAACGTGGCTGATTACAGTGATTTATTTTATGCTGCCACATATATCTTATTGTAAGGATTTAGTTACAACAATTCTTACAAGTTTCACTGAATTTTAATTATTACTTTTTAATTCCTTGCTTGCATTTCACTAAATAAATCAACTCTTTCAAGTCGGTTTCGGAACTACCGCTTCAAGTGAAGACAAAATGCAAAAAATTGACTTCAAGAAAACCGAGATTAACGGCCGTGGGGATCCGTTGCACTGACCACGCGACACCCCCTATCCACAAAAATTGACACTAACTTCGCTAACAAGCGGCGGTCGCTCGGTCGGTATAGTTCGCTTGCGAACTAAAGCCACAGCGTTTGTTTTGTTTTTATTTGCGTTCATAATAATGTCTCTGATGAAACATTGAATTAGTCGAAATAACTTGAGATAACTGAATTAAGCTAGTAATATGATGAATGTAAATAAATGATGAATTATTTTAACCGCCGTCACGTTCACCTACACGTTTGACGTCACTTTTAACTGGCTTCTCCTTTGATGCTTCAAGTCCCATAAGTTTGTCGCCACCTTTGTCTGCCCTACCTGGTGCTGCCGGGGCTGAAGTTGCTAGGCCGTGGCTGGTTCCGGCTTGACCAGGCTCCACCGCTTCTTCCGGCTCCACGCTTCTTCCTTCCGTTGAGATTACAGGGGGGTTGAATTTCAGGATGGGACCTGATGGTATGGGCGCCAGCATACAGCTAGAGACTGTTTGCGATTCATTGTAAAGGGGGGGAAGGCGTGAGTGGGTGAAAGCTGGCGATGGGTTTGACTAGCTAGTGGCGATGAGTCTCTCCTCAGGTCGGCTACGGATCAGGCTCGGACAAGTGAGGGTGAAGCACCTCTAACCAACACAAGTCACTGTATTCCTCCGACACTTTCTTGCTCTTTTTAAAGGCACTCGGCTGTACAAATTCACACTATCAGATCCAGTTTCGGCTTTCAAGGAGCTGGTGTTGCACTTGCACAAATTGCACACGAGAAGCTCGACTCACACCCGTCCGCTTATGGATTAAGCCAAACCCCGGTTTGAGTCGTTACGAGAAAAATATGGTACTTAGAATTTTCCTTTGGCGCGTGAGATGCGGGGTTTGCCTCCGCCAAGTTCTGAAGTTGATAGTCGACTAAAATCTTAGACTGGGCTTTCGGCCGAGCCAGAGGTCCTAACTGAATTGTATCCGCCTATTCTCCTCTCTTCCTAATTTCTCGGATAGGCTGATTCAAATAAGAGGGGTTGGCTTAATTTGGTTCCGACCAATGACCGATTGTTTTTAAGGGAATTTCGCCCTAAAAGACAAAACGACGAAATTGACAGCGATGCAACTTATGAGGGGTCGCTAATGAGCTCCTGGCACTCCTACCTTTGACTTACGGCTGGTAGAGACTGTCACTTCTCGAATTCTCAAAGTGGCTTGCAGCTATAAGTCAAATTGTCAATTTCTAAAGAAGCTCAGTGGGGTTTCTTGAAGTAGTATTTCTGCCTTTCTGGAAAATAACACCAGATTCTTGGACGCAAGGACTAGCAGATGTCCTGTCCGCGCAAGTTTGGTCTATCTGCTCATCGCCTACTCCTTGACCTGACTGTGTCTTAAACCTCTGTTTCTTCATAATTCTTAGTACCTACTCTATCAGCTGCTGAAATAAAAAAGAGGAGGGAAGGATTTCAATGGTGCGGTTACATTATATTTCCTGCTGATTGCTGTGTCCAGATATTTATTTTAATTTCATATTTCTAATTGTTCCAGAAATTGACCCCAGATGGCGGCGAGATTCTAGAATATTATACTCACCCCTGTGGGTAAGTTTCGGAAATGTTTTAAATGAAACCCTCGGCCCACATAAAAAATAAAGTGGGATTATTACAGACAAGACTATAACTGATTACATAACTCTGAAACATTGACTGTCTTTTGTTTAGAGGCCATGACTCAACAATTCATATTAATACAGATAAGGTCTTTGAAGTCTGATAATATAAATATTATTTATTATACTGCAATTGGGTTTTAGCCCGGTGGCAGTAGTACACAATAGGACACAACAGACAAGTAACACACATTACACTAAGTGACAACACGTTCAAACAGAACACAATACACAACAATAAGGACATTCTACCACAGTGAATACAAACCAAATACTTTTAACAACTACAACAATTACAGAGAAATACAAACAACTGTAACAAATACAACAACAACAAAAAGGACATCCTACCACAATGAATACAAACCAAATAGATTAACAAATTGAAACATGTGGCCATGTATTGTGAATTCCTCAATAATCATATACAAGGACTGCATAAATATATCACTCCAATCTACTCATATCATTAGCACTGCGGTTAGTAAAATATGTGGTTTAATTTTTAAACTTAGTTTCCATCTGCTGGATGGACAGATCAGAGAGAGATCACGTCTAAATTACGTTGAATTATGACATACTGGCCTATATTTGCCACCAAATATAATATCATCTAATTTGCTGACTGTGAACGGTCACTTACAGTTTGAAACATCCAATTTGTTGGGGAACAAAGGGAGGAGCTAGGATAGATATTCTGTATTTATTTTGCATACTCACTCCACCATAGACTCATTCGTATGTGCCAGAACGCTCTGAGGTGGGCTGTGAACCAGGCAAACAGCAGGAGCATCGAATTATACAGGCAACACACACTCGGTCTTTAATTTCGAGGCAGTTGTTTTGTTACGGAGAAAAGGAGATTCTTTAATTTGTTTTATGTACCAGTTGGTAATTTTAGTGGACACAAATATTACGTATAAGGACTTCACCAGGAAAATATCTCCATATGAGGCTGTAGTTCTAAGCTCTCTAATAGCTCCTCTGTTAGAGATGAAGTTAAAAGGAAAGCTGTCACTATGCTTAAATAATCAGTTAAGCACAACGCCATGAAGGTTTGTGGGGGAGTTGAGGTATAGTACCACCATTCTTAATCTCGACACCAGAAGGCGGAGAGTAGTTAGTTTCACGCCCCGGCCGCTTTATCCCAGGTGACTATGCGCCTGTTATCCATTTGATAGAAAGATTATGCCTCAGAGCCAGTCTGGACACTATGGAGGAAAAAGAGCTATCTTGTGTCTGGTGGGAATGGAACTCGGTTCCTCCAGTCCGTAGTCAGTCACTATACCGACTGAGCTACCCCGGAGTTCTGTAAGACGCTCCCAGACGTTGCTTGGCTGTAAATACGATTATAGACCAAACCATTCTTCTGCTGGTTAAGTTAACTTTTTTACGTTTTCTTTTTTAATTTCTTTGGGTGGGGTGAGACTGAGTCCGCTTGGTACGTCGACCACTAACTAGTCTATTGTACCAGCCCCGAATGACAGATGATGAATGTGGAGAAATCGGTAGAATGAGAATTGGAAGAGGAAACTGAAGTAATCGGAGAAAACCTGCCCCAGTGCCACTTTGTCCATCACAAATCCCACGTGACCTGACGTGGGCTGAACCCGGGCCGCCGCTATGGGAAGCCGGCGACTAACTGCCTGAGCTATGGCACGGCTGCTTTTATACAGTTAGTTAGTTAGTTAGTTAAAGTAAGGGCTGACGGAGTGGATCGACGTAGCGACAGCCCTCTTGGTTCATGTTCAAGTAATTCCCAATTCAGGTCTCGTCTGGGTTAACAGGTAGGCTGATAGAGGCTTTCCGTGATTTTCTTTAGGCTCTGTAATAAAATGCTGAAATAGTTAATTTAAAATAGACGACAACAATCCTTAAATGTTTACACTCAGCCACCTTGTGTCATTCGATGTGCCTTATGCGGTTCAAATTGCATCTTAAAGACCACGTCAATGGAATACGCAGCAGGGTTGGCAACCCTGTTTACGTTATCAACACGCAGTCCTTGTTTATGGATTTCATTTTGGACGCGTCCATTGCCCGATATTGTAGAAACTAGAAAACACGTTTCCGAAACGGGATCTGTTTTCGAAACTTTATGTTTTCTACTTTCTACAATATCGGGCAATGGAAAAGTCCCAAAACCCAGTAATTCTGAGTATTATACACCAACGTCGTAACCCTTTAGAATCTAGTGTCATCGTATTTTGGAAAGTTGGTTCTAGTTCCTTCTTCAAGTGAACGGAATGCAGAAGGAAACTGAATGTAGCTTTAAGTTTAGTTTAAGATATATTCCCATAAGAAATGCCACTATTTGCTATCAAAACAGCTCCTTAATATCACACAATATTCATGAAAATAAGTTATTCTGCTAGCTTTTAAAAACCGAAAGCAAAAATGTATGGATGTTAAACAGTGAAAGTTAAGTCTATAAGTTGCGATGGAAATACACAAAATAAACATAGCATTTGGTTTATAAATTAAAGTGAACACTGGGCAGATTAAGAATGATCATGCATAAAGGTTTGCCAAGGATTATGTCACATGGAATATTGATGTGTCCGCTGTTCAGTTCGCTCAGAGACAAAGAGATGGGTGACATACATGGCCTTTGTAATAAGTTCATATTTTTCCAGCAAACTGCTCTGTACCTTTCTGTTTTACGCTAAATTTTACAAAAATGCAAAGGTCGGGCTTTGCTTGCACGGATAAATGCGTAGTTATTTTGATCTGCTCTGTATTCTCGGATCACTACTTTCAGATTCGCGACGAAATTATCCGCGCTTTGTGTGCAAGCATGGAGGCCTGCACCCAGTAACATTTTTTTGTACATTTTTTTTTTTTAACTTTGTACCCACTTCACTGTTCAGATGATAGCTTTAATAACTGTGGACTAATATGTCTGAATATCTGGAAATTATACTTCTTGTTTGCAGTGTTGTATATCCTCATATATCTCGTACAGATTAAGATAAAATTTGTCCCCGTGCTTAACTAAGCCACACTCCATGAAAATTTATGGGCGAGTGGTGATGTAGCTTCAAGGTTTCTGAACCTCATCAATACTTGGAGTTCAGTGTAAAGGTATGTGCCCCAGCAGTTTTGCCTCCCTTTTGAATAAGGATCTGGGTGGGTCCCAGGTCCGGTTTGAACGCAATGGGAAGTCCCTATCCCTGACAGAAATATAATCTCGATTTCCCGGTGCTGAAACCATTAACTAGTCACTATATTCACTGAGCTACACTGATTCTGATTCTAAATTCTGGGCTGGGTTCCGGAAATACAATTCTACTTAGTCTTGTTTAGATGGTGTGTTTATTTCAGATAAATTATATACTTATGAAGGTTCATTTATGTCCGATATTCAACAATAAGAATGAGGCAGCTCTGCGAAAATATGAGGTGGATGAGTTCTTCTGTCATTTACAGCGTAGGTTCCTCGTAACCGAATCTTTCGGAGCAACCATAACAATAAATATGGAGGGATAAAAAAATGGGGATAAATTTCTGAAAGTGATAGTTAACGTTCGGTTCAGATTCCTTTATTAATCTATGTCCTAGGAAAACCTAAAAATAAAAATATTTGGTATTATTTTACTTTAACATGAAACCTGTTGTCACTTTCTGTCTCGAAATCAAGAACATAAATTGAGGTTGGATTTTATGTTCTCACATCTGTGACTTTGAAGAGTAAAATAGGGGTAATGTGGGATGATAGGACGTATATTTCGGTAAAAATTTGTCGACGTTTCGGAGGAATGTTGTATCTCCGTTTTAAGGGCCTAAGAGGAAGTTGAACACAACCATCAAACAGAAACTAATTCCTGGCTTGCTTCTTACTTCATACTTACTCTTTGATCCTGAAGATGCAGGCTGTACGTTCCTACGAAACGTCAGTAAACTTCTACCATACTATACAACGACACATCTCAGAAAACAGTAGGCCTGATCTTCATGGATAGATGTTTTCATAGAGTAAAGAGCTGATGTTCATATTTTTATTGAAGGCCGTGTCTAGAATCGGGAGGTTGGACTCTGACTTTCCACTGCGGCGGTCCGTGTTCCATCCCAGGTCAAGTCACTTAGAATTAATTGTGGACAGAGTGGCACTGAGGAAGGTTTTCTGAAGGTACTTTGGTTTCCTTTGCTAATTTTCATTACGTTAACGGCTTCATATATATATATATATAACCAATAGTCAACTTTAAAGAAACAGCCCAATTTCTTGCTCCTATTCTTTTGACATTTTAAAATATTTTTGGAAACTTCTCAGAGTTCATTACGTTCTAATTCCTTCCGTTTTTTCTCTAAACATTTTGTTTTTTGCGGATTTTTCTGGTTCTCTCGCAATGTATTTATTCACTTTATGGTCAGTCCGAGCAAGGCTCTAGACATGCACTCAGGGGCACCAACTATTCTTGCTGAGGTTCCTCGTGAATCTCTTCAGTCCCTACAAGCCAATTCCGAAATTGTACCTCAATTAGGTCACTTGTTTCCCACCAAATTCTTTTCAATTGATTGTTCAAAACTTTGAATAAGTAGCAGGGGACAAGGGCGAAGGGGCCGTCTTCCAAATTTAGGGTCACCGCTTTTATCTTATAAGGACGGATTTATGAAATTTTCAAATTATTCTTACACCCTTATTCGCTCATATATAAATTCCAGGCATGAGTTCTACAGAATTCTGGGATTCCCCATGGGAATTTTTTAACCTTCACCACATTTGAATATATATTTTTAAGAACATATTTTGTACAAAATAAATATTAACGTAAGGACAGAAGGGACTTAGATGTTGAGTACCACAGAGATACGAGAACATACGTTCAACACAGAACCTAAATATAAACCAAGTTAATTGGACGACATCACAATTGACAATTTTATATGATATTAGCTTTCAAAGGAGCTTCCTTCACAATGCAGAGCACG